CTGACTGCTTTTGTTAATGTTTTTGTCTACACAGCAACTAATATTCAGGCCAGTGGCTCTATGCTATGACCTGCCAAAATCGCTAAACTAAATCTAATAAATTATAGTTAGCTTTTTAGTGTATTCAGTTACATCACAGTGGATGCAGTGGCAACATTTCGAGACAGAGGTAGTTTAGCAGCAGTTTGATTCAGAGGCTGATTAATCACATCATACACAGGTTCCTCCTTTCTTCTTGTTGGTACCACTCCATAGGCTGTGTTACTGTGGGTCTCCACCTTCTTACTGTATGCTGATCTGTAAAGATGGCAAGGGGGTATTGTTTAGCTAGCTAACTAAACCAAAGTCCAACCTAACACAACAAACCATGTTACACCCTGTGGAAACACTAATACCTGTTGCAGATGCCAAATATGGCAATGGGGAGACAGACAAGGATCTGACAGAGTATTATTCCTCCACCCACACTTCCAACTATTATTGCAGTGCTCTCAGCACTACATGGCTCCTGGTCAACATCTGAGATGTAAAGAAAGTCTTATAGCCATTATAGTATTTGGATCAACTCACCTTTAGTATATCCACACATTTCACTGACAGGAGTAGAAGTGACCGTGGTGGTGAGAGTGATTGTTTTAGTACATGGCTCCATATCTGAGATACAAAAGCCTGATAGACATTGAGTTTCATTTGATCGACTCACCTTTCGCAAATGTGGACATTTGACTGACTGGAGAGGCAATGACCATATCACTGGTTGGAGTGGTCGTTACCATGGTAATGACAGTAATTGGGATATTAGGGACTTGAGAACTAGTGCTAGACTCAATGATGGATGTAGTTGTCTCTCGACCAGCCATAGTGGTTGTAAGTGCAGTGACAGAAGAACTCAGCGCTATAAAAACATAGTTAAGTGCATGGTGGGGCAACAATAATTTAAGGTATCAGCGTTTCACCTCTGGTGGTGGTGAAGGGGCTAATGAGACTAGTAGTTGTAACACTTGTAGCAGGGTTAGTAGCAGAAATAGTGACAGGACTGGAAGCCATTGCTGCAACAACAGTGTGGTTATGTGGGTGGCTGGAAGAAGAGGTAAGTGACTCACTTTGAATGACAGTGATAGGTCCAACCAGAGGACTGGGTAGGTGAGGTGACAGAGCCACTATGGAGATGTAGTAGGTGACTCCTCTCTGAAGACCATCCAGTGAGTGTGTGTCTGTCTCTCCTCCAGACACCCTGTCACTGGTGACTGGTCCTCCCTTAGGCTGGTAGTAGATGACATAGCCAGTGACGGGATTACTTGGTGACTCCCAAGACACAGTGATATTGACATGTGTACTGTTGGACTCTGAGATGGCTGCAGTAAGACCAGTGGGCTCTCCTGCAACTGTGTAAAATGCAAAATGCAGGAGTTCTTACATTACAAAACATTACCTGATATGTTTAGAGTTCCTTTCACTTCAGTAGCAGATACACGATCATCATAATCCTGAATATTATTGCTGATGGTGCAGTTGTAGATCCCATTTCTTCTTCCTCTCACTCTCAATCTGTTGTCATAGACAGAGTTGAGAGATGTGTTCAGTATGAGCTGACTAGTCTCATGATATCTGTCTTCCTGTACTGGGACTCCATTTACTGTCCACTGGACAGTTGTGGCAGGTCCTCCATGAGTACGGCAGGAGATAGTGAATTCAGGAACACTTGCTCTGAGCTCAGTGTGTAGAGTGAAGTTCATAGATACTGACTTGTTCAGTTGTCCTGTGAGAATATTATGAGAGAAGGCAAGCAGAGAAAGTGATGCAACATACCATATGACCTCCTATTGCTGATGTAGGCGTAGAGACTCTGCATATCTCCACTGGAATCAGGTATATCACATCTCCACAGTCCTGATGTGTGGTTACTACAACCTCTTTTGAGGTGTAGACTGATCTCTCCATCTCCTCTAGTGACATACAGACAAGTGGTTCCATCTGCTCCCTGGTAGACTGGTCTCCCACTCTCATCTCTCCAGCCACCAACAGTAGAGTTATTGCAGCAGTTATCACTATCAGTCACGCACTTTAGAGCACCATCTCTATCACCAATATCAATAGAGTAGATGTAGGAATTGTTGGACAGAAAGTACCCCTCATGTTCAAACTGAGGCAGTGCCTGGCAGCTCAGAACTGGTAGTAAAGTTATGACAGTGACAAGTACACTCTCTAGTGACATCTTATCTTCTCCAAAAGTAACTGTGTGCTATAACTAAGTGTACATAAGATCCCAAATCAACATTGGAAGGGCTAAGGCTAGGGCTAGAAATTTGCACCAAACAACTTTTCAGCTCGGCGCACTAGAAACGCGTGCGCGTATGTATAAGCTTACGCGCATGCGCGGCACCGCTAATTGAAGGGCTGGGCTATCCACTCACTAGCTCGCTCAGTCTAGCTACACTACTAGATAGAACGAAGGAGTCGATACTCGCCCTGTGTTGCAACTTCTAGTGCTACCAAGGTACGCAGAGAAAGCGGATCTGTTGAGGTAGGCCTGTGCTAATTTGCATACTGGCTCGTTGGTTTTCACGCTATAACCATAGATACTATACCCTATAGTATCTATGCTATAACTCTCGAATGCAGTACTTTTACGAAATTCGCAATAAAGCCAGTGTAGTGCTGAACTGTTTGGTTTTGCTCTTTTGTTGTCTCGTTGCGCGTGCTAGCACATGGCGCGAGCAGAAAACTCCAGAGCCGGGAGAGGCGCTGCGCATGTGCGCCGAGAGTTGCATTATCACACCTGTGAATAAAGCACGCTAGTTAACTGACGCAAGAAAGGTAATTATGTGTTCCCTCAGACCTCTCCTCTTATTTCACTCTAGCAGCATTCTATATTCACCTCTAGCAGCATTCGAGAGGAAGGCCACAGATACCAACTTTGTGTTGTGTGGGAATCTCAGTTCTTTTATCACACTAATTGAAGCTTCTTTGTGTATATACAAACAATCTCCAGGGAAGACGAATACAGAGATCTCTATTGTTTCTCCTCATTTCTTTGACCTGTCTTTTTATTAAGGTCACTGTGATGTGCATGGACATTATTGGAGCACACACAAATTGACGAGAAACACATTCCTGCCTGTATTATTTCTGGCGAGCGCTGCACCTTGAAAACATCTTGAGAATCGTAATATTCTAGTCTACACAGCAATTATAGCTACATACATACTAAGACCAGTGGCCCTATACTACTGTGTACTGTGCCAAAATTGTTATGATAGAGGCCTAAACATTTCTATTACATCGCAGTGGATGCAGTGGCAACATTTGAAGACAGAGGTAGTTTAGCAGCACTTTGATTCAGAGGCTGATTAATCACATCATACACAGGTTCCTCCCTTCTTGCTGGTACCACTCCATAGGCTGTGTTACTGTGGGTCTCCATCTTCTTACTGTATGCTGATCTGTAAGATGGCAAATGCAGGGAGGATATCATTGTCTACTTAACTAACCAAAGTTCTGTATACAAAGTCCAACCGTAACATGTTACACTCTGTGATACAAACAAGTACCTGTTGCAGATGCAAAATATGGCAATGGGGAGACAGACAAGGAGTATTATCCCTCCACCCACTCCTCCAGCTATTACTGCAGTGCTCTCAGTACATGGCTCCTTGTCAACATCTGAAGAAGTAGAGAAAGGCCTGATAGCCATTATAGTCTGAATCAACTCACCTTTAGTACATGAGCATGTTTCACTGACAGGAGTAGCAGGAGTAGCAATGACCATATTTTTTCTGGTTGGAGTGATAGTTCTTCTTGTACATGGCTCAATATCTGCATGAGAAATAGAAAAGGCCTGATAGCCATAGTTTGCGGATCAACTCACCTTCAGCACATGTGATTACACTAGCTGATGTAACAGAGGTAGCAATGACCATATTGGAGTTGCTGGCGGAAGTGGTCGTTGGAGAAAAGAGTCTTGTATCGCTACTGTGACTGCTGAGAGCAATATCCTCGGCAGGAGTGACAGTCTTATTGACAGCAACGGTAGCAGTGCCAGTGATTTGAAGGGTGGTGCTAGGCTTAATACTAGTACTAGATACTACAGTAGTTGTTTCTCTGTTAGTAACAGTGGTTGTAAGTGTCACAAAGGAGGTACACCCATTTACATTGCTAGGAGGACCTACATACAAAGTGAACATAATTAACCAGTGTGCAGCACTAATTATAAAGACTACATTGACATACTTTGAACTACTCTTATGAAAGCTGTGGTATCTTTTGATTCGGAGTAACGCAAAGTTTTAGCAGTGCAGCGGTAGACAATAATTATAGTGTCATTCTCAGAGGTGGTCAGAACACTCTGATAACCTCTCTCTGGAGATCCAGTTGTGGTGTACAGAATCGGCATCAGTTCAGATGGACCAGATGGGGGAGAAATGGCAATTCGGGTCCATTCTATGTCCACAGGAACACTCTGTCCATCAACCTCAGCTCTGGCAGTACAGTTGACTGAGAACTGAGTGTTTGGTGGAGTAGTGAGTGATTCAGGTGAGGTCTCTACATATATCAGTGGTGGATCTAATGAGAGAGAGACATAAGGACATGATAGTTTGAAGGAGAGGTAAGTGACTCACTAGCAATGACAGGGATAGGTCCAACCAGAGGACTGGGTAGGTGAGGTGACAGAGCCACTATGGAGATGTAGTAGGTGACTCCTCTCTGAAGACCATCCAGTGAGTGTGTGGTTGTCTCTCCTCCAGACCCTGTCACTGGTGACTGGTCCTCCCTTAGGCTGGTAGTAGATGATATAGCCTTGTGACTCCCAAGACACAGTGATGTTGACATGTGTACTGTTGGACTCAGGGACGACTGTGGTAAGATTAGTGGGCTCTCTTGCCACTGAGTAGAGAGGTGAGTAAGTAAAATGTACCCCTATACACATTGAGTGTTATACCAATAATGGTCTTAGATCCAATAACTTCATCAATGGATGCCGCAGGTAAGAAATCTCTAATATTGTTGCTGATGGTACAGTTGTAGGTCCCACATTTTCTTCCTTTTACTCTCAATCTGGTGTCATAGACAGAGTTGAGAGATGTGTCCAGTATGAGCAGACTGGTCTCATAATATCTGTTTTCCTGTAGTGGGACTCCATTTACTGTCCACAGGACAGTTGTGGCAGGTCCTCCATGAGTACGGCAGGAGATAGTGAATGCAGGAACACTTGCTCTGAGCTCAGTGTGTAGAGTGAAGTTCATAGACAGCAAGACCAATTGTCCTGTATTCTCTTTTAGTAAAGTGTGGATAATGGTAATGTAGCTCACCATATGCTTTTCTATTGCTGATATAGATGTAGAAGCTCTGCATCTCTCCACTGGAATCAGGTATATCACATCTCCACAGTCCTCCATCTCCTCTAGTGACATACAGACAAGTGGTCCCATCTGCTCCCTGGTAGACTAGTCTCCCACTCTCATCTTTCCAGCCACCAACAGTAGAGTTATTGCAGCAGTTTACACTGTTAGTCACGCACTTCAGAGCACGATCTCTATCACCAATATCATGATAGTAGATGAAGGAATTGTTGGACAGAAAGTGTCCCTCGTGTTCAAACTGAGGCAGTGCCTGGCAACTCCGAAGTAGGAGTAAAGCTATGGCTGTGACAAGTACACCTTCTAGTGACATCTTATCTTCTCCAAACGTAATACTGTTTGATGATTAGGCTCTAGAGTCAGCATTACTAACTTTACATAAGACCCCAAATCAACACTGGTAAAACAACTGTGCACCAAACAGCAACTTTTCGAACATTGGAGCCCTTAATACATACACACCTGTGTATTATAGCACACTGTTTATCAGTTAACTGACACAAGAAAGAGAATGTCTCCTCTGATATATTACACTCCACCCACTCACTGCCCTCAATGCTCACAGGTCTCTAGCAGGATTCCAAGGAAACAAGGAGAAGACGACAGTCTCTGTTACAACCACAGACAGCAGCTTTGTGTTGTGTGGGAATCTCAGTTCTTTGGTCACACTACTTGGAAGCTGCTGCACGCACGTAAACAAATCTCCAGGGAAATAGCAGAGATCTCTATTCTTCCTCATGACTGGAGATTTGTTTTAAAAGCATTATCTTTCACTTACCAATTACGGTCACTGTGATGTGCATGGATGTTGATCATGTTGTCTTAGCTAGTGAAAAAATGTATACATCCTTTATTTCTGGTAAGTGCATGCTTCTTGAGAACTTCTCTTTTGAGAATCATAATATTCTACACAGCAGTACACAATAAGGCCAGTGGCCCTATATACTGGCCAATATCGCTGCTAAGATGTTAAATGGCTACATAATGTCACATGGCAGTGGATGCAATGGCGACATTTGAAGACAGAGGTAGTTTAGCAGCACTTTGATTCAGTGGCTGATTAATCACTTCATACTCTGGTTCCTCCCTTCTTCTTGCTGGTACCACTCCATAGGCTGTGTTACTGTGGGTCTCCATCTTCTTACTGTATGCTGATCTGTCAAGGTGGCAAATGCATGGGGGGATGTCATTGCCTAACTGGCTAGTTCTGTATACAAAGTCCAACCTAACACAACAAACCATGTTACGCTCTACAAAAACACAATACCTGTTGCAGATGCAAAATATGGCAATGGGGAGACAGACAAGGATCTGACAGAGTATTATTCCTCCACCCACTCCTCCAGCTATTACTGCAGTGCTCTCAGTACATGGGTCCTTGTCAACATCTGAAGAAGAAGAGAAAGGCCTGATGGTAATTATAGATAGTTTGGATCAACTCACTTTTACATGCACATATTTCACTGACAGGAGTAGAAGTGAGCTTGGCTGTGAGAGTGATTGTTTTAGTACATTGCTCCATATCTGAAACGTAAAAAAGGCTGATAGCCAGTGACTTTGTTTGATTGGCTCACCTTTTGCAATTGTGCCTTTGGGAGTGATAGTTGTGGCAGTGGAGGTAACAATTTCAAAATTGTCATCGTTCGTGTTGGCAATGGATGAAGTTGTGGGCATGAGGGTACCGTAAAATACATCTTCACCATTACCACCATCTAAGATACAACATTTAGACAGTACAAAGATAGTTAATATAAACATGGTGGTAAAATTAATATCTCACCACTGATGTTTTGATCAGCGGTAGAACTGGTGAAACTACTGGCAGAAATAGTGGTAGACGTGAGAGTGAGACTCTGAGTACTAGGGCTAGGAGCAATTGCTGAAAGTGAGTAAATATGTAAACCTATACATCTTACAGCACCCCACACCTTTAACATGTACAATAGTATCACTGAAGTTGGAGTAACTGGAAACTGTAGCAGTGCAGCGGTACACAATTACATAGTCATTCTCAGAGGTGGTCAGAACACTCCGATAGCCTCTCTCTGGAGATCCAGTTGTGGTGTAAAGAGTGGGCATCACTTCAGATAGATGACCAGACTGAGAAAAGATGTCTATCCGGATCCATTCTATGTCCACAGGAATACTCTGTCCATCAACCTCAGCTCTGGCAGTACAGTTGACTGAGAACTGAGTGTTTGGTGGAGTAGTGAGTGATTCAGGTGAGGTCTCTACATATATCAGTGGTGGATCTAATGAGAGAGAGACATAAGGACATGATAGTTTGAAGGAGAGGTAAGTGACTCACTAGCAATGACAGGGATAGGTCCAACCAGAGGACTGGGTAGGTGAGGTGACAGAGCCACTATGGAGATGTAGTAGGTGACTCCTCTCTGAAGACCATCCAGTGAGTGTGTGTCTGTCTCTCCTCCAGACACCCTGTCACTGATGACTGGACATCCATTAGGCTGGTAGTAGATGACATAGCCAGTGACAGGATCACCTGGTGACTCCCAAGACACAGTGATATTGACATGTGTACTGTTGGACTCTGAGATGAATACAGTAAGACCAGTGGGCTCTCCTGCAACTGTGTAAGACAAATGCAGGGAGCTATTAGATGTAATTCTTCAACACATTACCTGATATGTTGAGAGTTCTATTCACTTTGGTAACAAATTCATAATAATAAATAATCCCCAATATTGTTTCTGATGGTACAGTTGTAGGTCCCATTTCTTCTTCCTCTCACTCTCAATCTGTTGTCATAGACAGAGTTGAGAGATGTGTCCAGTATGAGCTGACTGGTCTCATGATATCTGTCTTCCTGTACTGGGACTCCATTTACTGTCCACTGGACAGTTGTGGCAGGTCCTCCATGAGTACGGCAGGAGATAGTGAATTCAGGAACACTTGCTCTGAGCTCAGTGTGTAGAGTGAAGTTCATAGATACCAAACTGTTTAGTTGTCCTGTGAGAATATTATTTGAGAGAAGGCATGCAGAGAAAGTCATGCAACATACCATATGATCTTCTATTGCTGATGTAGGCGTAGAGACTCTGCATCTCTCCACTGGAATCAGGTATATCACATCTCCACAGTCCTGATGTGTGGTCAGTACAACCTCTCTTGTGGTGTAGACTGATCACTCCATCTCCTCTAGTGACATACAGACAAGTGGTCCCATCTGCTCCCTGGTAGACTGGTCTCCCACTCTCATCTCTCCAGCCACCAACAGTAGAGTTATTGCAGCAGTTTACACTGTCAGTGACACACTTCAGAGCATAGCGTCCATCACCAATATCTTGATAGTAGATGTAGGAATTGTTGGACAGATCAAATCCCTCGTGTTCAAATTGAGGCAGTGACTGGCCATGGCAGCTCAGAACTAACAGAGTTATGGCAGTGACAAGTACACTCTCTAGTGACATCTTATCTTCTCCAAAAGTAACTGTGTGCTAAAACTAAGTGTACATAAGATCCCAAATCAACATTAGAAGGGCTTAGGCTAGGGCTAGAAACTTGCACTCAGTGTTTCACTAAAGAGGCGCACTAGAAACGCGTGCGCGTATGTGTATAAGCTTACGCGCATGCGCGGTACCGCTAATTGATGGGCTGGGCTATCTTTACTACTCACTCGTGGTCTGTGACAGGCTAGCTACACTACTAGAGAGCACGAAGGAGTCGATACTCGCCCTTTGTTGCAACTTAAGTATAGGAGAAAGGGGATCTGTCGAGGTAGCCTGTGCTATATAATTGCACAAGTGGAAAAATCATTTCTTCAAAATGAAAGGGGGATATAGGGATGGCTTGAAGCACCAAAAAGGAAGAAACAAGGGGTCATTACACAGCAAAGTTGCACAAAGCTACATCACACCATCCCTATATCTTTGTTTTATTGTTTATATAAACTTTCTTATCAAACAATAAAACAAAGATATAGGGATGGTGTCATGTAGCTTTGTGCAACTTTGCTGTGTAATGACCCCTTGTTTCTTCCTTTTTGGTGCTTCAAGCCATCCCTATATCCCCCTTTCATTTTGAAGAAATGATTTTTCCACTTGTTTCCACTATTTTTAACAGCTTCTGGCAACACTGCATTTATTGTTACAGTCACTCTGATGTTCATGGCTATGTTGTAGATAGGCTACCATAGACAAATTGAAAGTAGTAGCTAATGGGGCTGCTAGATACCATGTATTGTCTTCAACAAGGATGTAATTAGATTATTGCACATGGTTGTGGTTTCATTGGCAGGCTTTGGTAATCAGGCTACAACCTGGGGGGGACAAACAATGAAGGCCCATTTGACTGAGTGCCCCGCAAGGCGCGCGTAACACCGCGCAGACTCTGGCAAGTTGCTCTTCGTGCATATCAACAGCAAGATAGCCAGTTGGAAATGTGCACACTTACTTACAGAAGGTACTGGAGGCTGACAGTTCCTCTGCAGGTCTGCCAACTCGCCCGGTAGAATACGCTCGCAAGCACATTGGACAACGCCCCTGCCTGGCGCATGCGCGCTGATCACTGATGCTGAGTAAGCAGCAAATGGCGTTATTCAGGTCGACCAGGGAAGAGCTCCATGATCTACCGTAGTGACTAGCGACAAGAAAGAACGATCGCTTGATGTCCGTGCACACCTCCGGCGAAATTGGAGACCTTCAGTGAAAAAATCAGTGCTTGAACTGGTACTGGTAAGGAGATAGCGGGTTTAAAGAAGAAGAAGAAGAAGAAGAAGATGAAGAATATGATGACACGAAAATCGTGAAATCGCGTATGAGCGAATTGTCGCGTGGACGACTGAAGGTGCGTATGAGCTCTTGGGAGACATGTATAGGTAGATATGGGCCCGCAGACTATTGCTAGTATGTTTTGAAGGCCTAGGAAGTGATTCTCACCGAGTTTTTAGTCGTTTTGTACGCGGATCACGTGAGATTTCACCCGTGTCATCCCTATATAGAGAGTCTACCGACTCTCTAATACTGGCTCGTTCACTCGCGAACTCGCCAGGAGAGGTGCTGCGCATGCGCACCGAGAGTGGGAGGCTTACGGTGTCTTCGCTCGACTCTAATTAACTGTCCGTCCACATTCTGTCTTATGCAACTTCAGATTAGCAACGATTGTGCGTGGGCGTATGTTTCAATGGCACAGCAAAAACGCTGGTGATTTATGGTATTCCGTCTCCATTATGCGCAGTGGCCTAGCCTGCTTCGGTACGCGGGAAGAATTTTGCGCTAAAATAACGGGCGTGACCGGGGTGGCAAAGGTCAACGTGAAAACAAAACTTGGCCACGCCTATTTTTCGGGATGGCTCTAATACGCCTGCGCGTGCCACAGGAGGCAGAAAGAACGCCTTTGCACATAATGGAGACGGACCGTTCGCTCCTGGATGAGTCGCGCACGGGTTTTCTCTCCCATAGAGAATGTATGGAGGAGGAATATGAATATGCTAATAAGTTTGGAAACAAGGTAGGAAAACCCGAGAAATATACCTAAATTCACCATAAATCACCAGCGTTTTTGCTGTGCCATTGAAAAATATATCTGATATATATAGACTTTGCACTCTACACTGACTTGTGTATGTATGTACCTGCCATGCCCTAGTGGCTCCGTGCAATTATTGATTGATTGATTGATTATTAAGCATACACACCTGTGAATAAAGCACACTGTTTATCAGTTAACTGACGCAAGAAAGAGAATGATGTGCCCCTCAGACCTCTCCTCTTATTTCACTCCACCCGCAGACCTCTAGCAGCATTCCAAGAAAACAAGAGGAAGGCCACAGTCTCTGCTTCCACCACAGATATATACCAACTTTGTGTTGTGTGGGAATCTCAGTTCTTTGAACAAATCTCAAGGGAAGACGAATAACAGAGATCTCTATTGTTTCTCCTCACTAGTTTTCTTTTGATCTGTCTTTTTTATTATGGTCACTGTGATGTGCATGGACATTATTGGAGCACACACACAAACTTATTCGACGACGAGAAACACATTGCTGCATGTCTTATTTCTGGCGAGCGCATGCTTCTTAAAAGCTTCTTGAGAATATTCTGGACTACACAGCAATTATAGCAGCTACATATAATACTACCACCAGTGGCCCTATACTACTGTGTCAAAATTGTTATGGTAGAGGCCTAATTTATTACATCGCAGTGGATGCAGTGGCGACATTTTGAGACAGAGGTAGTTTAGCAGCACTTTGATTCAGAGGCTGATTAATCACATCGTACACAGGTTCCTCCCTTCTTCTTGCTGGTACCATTCCATAGGCTGTGTTACTGTGGGTCTCCACCTTCTTACTGTATGCTGATCTGTTGGCAAATGCATGGGGGATGTCATTGCCTAACTGGCTAGTTCAGTATACAAAGTCCACCCTAACACAACAAACAATGTTACGCTCTACGAAAATACTAATACCTGTTGCAGATGCAAAATATGGCAATGGGGAGACAGACAAAGATCTGACAGAGTATTATTCCTCCACCCACTCCTCCAGCTATTGCTGCAGTGCTCTCAGTACATAGCTCCTTGTCAACATCTGAAGAAGAAGAGAAAGACCTGAGAGTCATAGATAGTTTGGATCAACTCACCTTTAGTACATGCACACATTTGACTGACAGGAGTAGAAGTGACTGTGGTGGTGAGAGCGATTGTGCCCATTTTAGTCTCGCTGGGTGCGACTGTGTTAGTGGTAGCTTCTATTCAGTCTTGCTGGGTGCCATTGTGGTCGTGCTAGTTGTAATGCTGGTTATCAGGAGTGTACCAGTAGTGGATGCCTCAATAGTACCACTGATGATAGTTGTTGTGGTAGGACTAGTTGTGTTTGCTACACTAGTCATAGTAGAGGTGCTTATTGTAGCTGCTGAGGCTGTCATAGTCGAGGCAACTGCCATTCTAGGGATGGTCATCATATTATTGTTCAAAACAATGGTAGTACTCGTTGGATTCGAATTAGTAGAAAGTGCAGTCCTGTGGGCGGTAATGATGGTAGTTTTGGAGTGAGTACTTGGGTTGGTAATGACAGTGCTGTTAATCTGGATATAAGTTGGAGCTGTATAAAAAGCACGAGGTGCATGGATAAAATGCCAAGTATAATCAATGGAAGAAGAGGAAGTAACTCGTATTAATAACAGGTCCTCCTTGAAGTAAACGATCAGTGCTCAGTCTGGCAACTATAGGTATCATAAAGTCTTATCTTTGGTTACACTGCTGGTGGTGACAACACTAAATTGCTGTTGCTGTGAAGGTTATATATAAGTGTACTGTCATACCTTCAACAAAT